GACTCAAAGGCCAAGGAACCGAGCCCGGGGAGGGGCCGACGTCCAACAGCACGTACGGCGAGTGGGGAGGAAAGACCCCACTCCGCGTAACCACAAGCCCCGCCTAGAGGGGGATAAAACCCCCCACGGGGTCTAACGGGGCCAAGGCCCCCCCAAGTCAGCCCCTCCCCAGCCCCGGGAACCTACACGACAGGCCCCGGGGCCGAGCCGTTCCCCCAAAGCCCCGGCCGTACCAGAAAACCGGGGCAGCCGTGAAAACACTAAGGAAGGGAGCCCACTGGCAGACTCATACAACACGGCTGGAGGAACAGGCCCAAATGCCCCCGTCACTACCCCGGAAGGGGAATTCCCCGAGACTGCCCGAGTCTCAACACCACCAAACACCCCGCCCTGAACCTACAGACGGTAAGGAACCGGATACAGGCAGGAAGGGTGAACCAGGGGAAAGACAAGGGGGCGTGGATGGAACCGAAGCAACCAACACCCCCAAGTCCCAAAACGAAATACAACGGGGCAGCCCCGGGGCTCCCGGGGAGGAAACCACGAGAACGTTGCCACCACCAAGGCTCAAGTGCAACGCCCCTGCTGCCCGCACCCGCTTTGTTAGCACAACTGGGTAACCGAGCCACAACGAGCAACCAAACTCGCAGGACACCGGGTCGAAGGTGTCACCGACCCCACAGGCAGCAGACGGAGGCAAAACAGAGAGTCACCCAGAGACAAAAGGTGAGAGCAACCCTCAAACTCGCTGGAAGCGAGGGGGGGGCTCTGGGGTCACATCCATCGGACCCGCGCGCCCCCAGGGGTTTCCCAGGGTCCCGAGCGTTTACTTTAAGAGGACTCGCGCTCAGGTAATCCCAGGCAGGGTACTGCTAACCGGCACCCAAGCTACCAAACAACTTTCTAAGAGCTGAACCCCCGGGACGTGTACACTCACGGGGACCTAGCAGGGGGTACCACCAGAAATACTCAGAACACAAGGGACACAAGGGGCAAGAACGAAGGCAGACCCCCCCACCAGGTATATAAACAAAAGAAAAAGAAAACCCCGCAAGAGGACAGCGTACCCAAGCGGAACAGAGCCGGCCGCTATGATTGGTAAAGACAAGCTGCACAGTACCCCGCGCCCCACCAGTGCAAACACTGCCCCTTACTCTAAGGCGAACAAGGGAGACAGAACACCCGAGCACACAAAGAGCGGCCGAAAACCAAGCGGTAAACGGCCAAGCAGGGGCAGGACCCAAGGAACTTGTGGAAGGTGGCCCCAAGCCCCAAGGGCAGTACTTACAGGGCACCTAGGGAAGGGAACCCTAGGCGCATGCAGCCCGAGTACTGAAGAATCACACCCGGCTCACGCACCACCTAGAAAACAGACACCACACTCTAGGTACAGTGCTGAAACAACCACTGGAGCCGGAGCACATAACCATTGCCTATAGCATCAGCCGAAGAACTGATGGGTGGATAGCCGGCGTGGGAGGTCTGGGGCTCCCCCTTCCCCCTCCCGGGGAGGGGGGAGCTGCGCAGACAGCGGCGCGGTGACGTATGACGTCATACTAGTTTCCGTGTTTTCTGTTGAAGAGTTCTATTCACTAGTTCGGCTTAGGTAGCAATTTTCACCAGAATAGGGGTTTGTTTTGGAATGCTTACCTTTCTGGATGCTTGACCCGGTCGATGGCAGACATAGAATGCTTCCAACCACACGGGGGTTTCTATAGGCCATTGCTCCCCTTGCCTCTCTGAGGGGGCCAGGTTCTGGCTCGTGGTCCCCGGTAGGCCCTAGAACTCCATACACATGACTGATGCCAAAGTCTGACATTAGCATATCAGCCGGTAAAGCTCCGGGGAGCCGACGGGGCTCCCCCCAGAAAAAGAGTTAGGCAGAGTGCCAGAGTCATGGAAGGTAGCTAATGTGGTACCAATTTTTAAGAAAGGAGATAGATCACTTGCGTCAAACTATCGGCCAATTAGCCTAACGTCTATTGTGGGAAAGTTACTTGAATCAATAATTGCAAATACAATTCGTCTCCATCTTGAAAAACATAAATTAATAATTGAGTCGCAACATGGTTTTATAAATGGCCGTTCATGTTTAACAAATTTGTTAACTTTTTATTCCAGCATAGTTGAGGCAGTTGATAGTGGTAAGGATTGTGATGTTGTGTACCTTGACTTTAGCAAAGCTTTTGATACAGTGCCACATGAAAGACTAATTAAAAAAATAGAAGCTCATGGTATTGGGGGTGCTATATTAAGTTGGATTAGGGCATGGCTATTCCAAAGGAAACAGAGAGTTAGTATAAATGGGGTTAAGTCAGAGTGGGATAATGTTGTTAGTGGAGTACCTCAGGGCTCTGTCCTGGGACCTCTGTTGTTTATAATATATATAAATGATTTAGATTCAGGTTTGAGTAGCAACATCTGCAAATTTGCAGATGATACAAAAATCGGTAGGGAAATCAACACGAAAGAAGACTCGCTATCACTTCAAGTTGATCTAAATAGGGTTTTAGAATGGTCAAAAGATTGGCAGATGCAGTTTAATGCTGATAAATGTAGAGTTTTGAGGCTGGGTAATGATGATAGAGTTACAAGATACGAGCTAGATGGTGTTGAGATTGCGAAGTCGGATTGCGAAAGGGATCTGGGAGTTATGATTAGTAAGAATTTAAAACAAAAGGATCAATGCATGAATGTTCGTAATAAGGCGAATAGGACACTGGGATTTATTAATCGAAGCGTTAGTAACAAGACACCTGGTGTGGTTCTTCAGCTATATCTTGCTCTGGTTAGGCCCCATTTAGATTATGCAGTTCAGTTTTGGTCGCCGTACTATAGAATGGATATAAATTCACTTGAACGTGTCCAGCGTAGGATGACAAAGTTAATTCCCCAAATTAGAAGTCTTTCATATGAAGAAAGATTAATAAAGCTTAAATTGCATTCACTGGAAAGACGAAGAGTTAGGGGTGACATGATAGAAGTTTACAAGTGGATGAATGGACATAACAAAGGGGATATTAATAGGGTATTAAAAGTATCAACTCAAGACAGAACACGAAACAATGGGTATAAATTGGATAAGTTTAGATTTAGGAAAGACTTGGGTAAATACTGGTTCGGTAACAGGGTTGTTGATTTGTGGAACCAATTACTGCGTAACGTGGTGGAGGTGGGGTCCCTCGATTGTTTCAAGCGCGGGTTGAACATGTATATGAGTGGGATTGGGTGGTTATAGATAGGAGCTGCCTCGTATGGGCCAATAGGCCTTCTGCAGTTACCTTTGTTCTTATGTTCTTATTGATATTTGAACATTGTACCCAGTCATTATCCCACTCAGGCTCTTCTATAATACTATCATGGCTAAATAATACAGGTTATATATATATATATATTTTGACATTATTAGGCGATGCTGTGGTCACACACTGAACAGCAGAGCTGTGCGCTCATGCTGTGAGTGCCAGCCTTGGTTGCTCACTCACTACTGAGGCTCTGACACCCAGCAATGTGCACCATGATTTTTGTTTAAAATGGCGTCTGTTTACAAGAGCCCTGAGGAAGCTGATGTGAACCCCATGTATCTGCGGGAGTTTTGAATGGAACGTGAAAAATAAAAATACCCGGAGGCGCGTTGCTCACCCGAAGCCTGGGCCTGCAGGCGCGTTGCGAAGTTAAAGGGTTAAAAAAAAAATAAAAAAACATTTGAAACAATCTGAAAAATGGACAAATGCCATAAAGGTTCGTTCAGTGTTTGATGGGTAGGCTGCTCCATTATAACAATCTTTCTCTGTTTCAAATATGTTCCATTTGTTTTGTATTTTTCATTTACGTCTCAATAATGGAGCAGCCTACCCGACAAACACTGAACAAACCTTTACGGTATATGTCCATTTTTCAAATTGTTTCAACTTTTTCTTTTTATTTAAGAAACATGGAGCAGCCTACCCGTAGACCATCGAAGGAACCATCCAGTGTTTTGACATTTGTTCTGGTTTTCAAAATAATTAATTTATTTTGTATTATTTTCGTATTTTTTTATTTAAGAAACATGGAGCAGCCTACCTGTCGACCACTGAACGAACCTTTTGCTATAAGACAAATGAAAAATAAACATTGAACAAATTTGAAGAACGAAAAATGTCAAAGGTTTGTGCAGTGTATGTACGGTAGGCTGCTCCATTACTGAGACGTAAATGACAAATACAAAACATATGGAACACATTTGAAACAAAGAAAGATTGTTGTAACGGAGCAGCCTATCCACCAAATAAGCTTTTTTGACATTTGTTGTATTTCAGAAATTTCATTTATGTTTTCTACAAAAACGTCAATGCTTTGCAACATCTCAGTAGGCACCCCTTTATATCCCAGCATCATTAGTATCTTTAAACAAGAACAAGGACCTGCGACCCCACCATGTGGTGTCGCCATTATTTAAACGAGTGTTCGCCATACAAGACAAATTGTCGCCGGTCGTTACTCTTAATGTTCGCCATTTGAGGCGTTCATTATTCGAGATACCACCGTATTTTAAACACATTGAAATTTTAAACCACTTTAGTTAATGTATTGATCCAGACTGAATTCGGTCAACTCTCATTCCAGAAACAGTTGAAGGCCACAGGGATTACAATGGTTTAAACTGCACATGACAGGGCTGATCACATTGAAACTTAAAAAATATTGAACAATTTGGAGGATATTGATCTAGACAACAACTTCAAAAGGTCACATGTCACATGACAGAGCAACAGTTTCACGCTCAAGCAACAATACAAGACAGAAAACAGGAGATCCTTGGAACTCCCTACCCACTGGAGTAATGTCAAATTTTGGGTAGGAATGGAATGCCAAAATACTGCTGAATTTTAAAATCCAGCTCGATAATATCATCAGGACAAAGTGTTAAGGGAACCTCTGCCAAGCTGCCGGGTTCCTGTCTTTGTCGAGACCACTACAGAGCTAGTGACTCTCAGGTAAATTAATCTACGTCCCTTACCAGCAGAATATTTTTCTCATGACATGAGATAATTAATAACTAAAACATTATTGGTAAATAATTTGAATTAGATGACTGTAGTCATGCTGCAGCACTTAACCTTAGCCTGCATCTCTGACTTTCGTCCTCAGCAATGTTGTGTAATTGTATATAATGGTGGAAATTTGTCACAAAGAACATGCAACTTACTTTTAAAGTTTTCATATTATTGGTGATCTCTTTTGCTTGAACAAGGTGTTGGGCCTGTAAGTTATCCTTATCAGCAGTGTTAATGAGTGGATTGTTAGCATTACATGCTTTACTCTGAAAAATTATAACACATGTTATGAGGCACAAGGTTAATTATGCTACACAATGGGCACATTTAGACAAAAATTGTACATATCAAATTATGTTTTATATCATAGAAAGAAGAAATACAGAAAGGTGACTCCAATAATATATACCTTTTCTGAGGATGAAATAGAAATTTGGCTTTCTTCCACTTCTGCAGTTCTATGAAAGAAGTGGCTTGGACTCGTAGAATTGAATTCCTCTCCATCTGCATCAATGAAGCGCTCATTTCTAGTCTGCGTCTCACATTCAACATTGACTGCAGAAAATTCCTGTTTAAATTTACGTTATTTTCATTAGAAGTTGTAATAAATTTAAAACCAGCATTGCATGTATTAAAACGACATTTTCTGTAGGGAGCACCATCAGCTCCCTAAAGCTATCTGAACTGATATGTGCTATACTGTATTAGTTTGGGGTCATCAATCACAGGAGTTCTTATGCCTACTGGAAACTACGAGCCAGAACCTGGTTCCCTCAGAGAGGAGCAGGGAGCGATGGCTTATGAACACATTATATTTAAAGCATTTCATAAGTGCCATCGACCAAGGAAGCATCCAGAAAGGTAGGCGAATCAAAACAGACCACTGTCTGATTAACCTGGGCAAACTACATCCGAAAAAATCTAAATAACTCCACTAGAAAAAACCCAGCATTGAATGTAATGAAACGCCATTTTCTGGGCGAGCCCCAGAGGCACCCCGGAGTTGTCCAGGCTGATATAGATATCCCTAACTTTGGAATCAGTCACTGTTGGAGGAATACTAGGCCTTCTTCTTGAGGTTATCTTGAGATGATTTCAGGGCTTAGTGTCCCTGCGGCCCGGTTCTCGACCAGGCCTCCACCCCCAGGAAGCAACCCGTGACATCTGACTAACTCCCAGGTACCTATTTACTTCTAGGTAACAGGGGCATCAGAGTGAAAGAAACTCTACCCATTGTTTCTCGCCGGCACCTGGGATCGAACCCGGGACCACAGGCTCATGCATCCAGTGTTCTGTCCACGCAGCCGCCGGTACCCAGACTGCCTACCGGGACCACGAGCCAGAACCTGGACCCCTCAGAGAGGCATGAGGAGCAATGGCCTATAGAAATGCACATGTGATTTTGGAGCATTTTGTATCTGCTATCGACCGGGACAGGCACCCAGAGAGGTAAGCCCCCAAAAACAAACCCCTATTCTGGTTAAAACACCGAAAATAGTCAAATGAGTGGACAGAACTCCCCAAGTGAAAACAATCATGATGTCACATGAGCTGCTACGCATGTCTGTGCAGCTCCCCCCTTCCCAGGAGGGGAAAAGGGGAGCCCCAGACCCCTGTACTATCGATCCACATTCCAGTTCTGAGGCTGGATATCAAAACACACGAAAACCGCCGATCGGAAGGGAGGGAGGGAAGGAGGGTTGCTGGGGACCCTCTGGGACTCGACCAGAAAATGGTGTTTCATTACATTCAATGCTGGTTTTCTGTGGGGAGCCCCTACGGCTCCCCGGAGCTACTTCACCAAGGACAAAAACAGATGGACATATCTGGAATGCAGTCGGTGTTCACATCCCAACACTAGATGTGAGACAGGTTGCAACCGCCGACCCAAAGCGACACAGGCCCGACTAGGCCTAGGAACATTCACAAGGTAGCATTCAGCAAGGACCCAGCATGACCGCCAAAAACCCCTTGCCCGAAAGTCAGCGCAAAACATGGTGCCAAAGACAGCAGCAAGCACAACAAACTTACGAATGTTATGGGCACGAGGATAGACCGCAGGCTGGTTAGACCGAAAGACCCTGAGGACGACCAGAGAGACCTGAACCCGAGAACAGGGAAGAAGGGAAACTGGATCAACCCAAAGCACATCCCCTGCCACAGAGGCCGTGGTGTGCAAATAATGGTGCAGAGCTGCAACCAAACACAAGATGGTGCACCCCGGCCAACCAACCAAGCAACAACAACCCTAGGGGACCCGTCTGGTAAATAGCCATCCCAACCCCACCAGAAAGGAAGAGACGGCCGCAATGAAGAAACCGACCAACAGAACCGAAAGAAGTAGAAACCACTTCCTCAAACCAAGGGGAAGAGAGAAAAGAGCACCCAGTCCAAGAACAGGACGGCACAGGTGGCGCATGAGCAGGCTGGAGGTGAGTAATGCCCGAGTCAGCCCACAAACGGTGCAGAAGGAACAACGAAACCGGAACAATCTGAAGCAGCTCCACCAGTGCAGCACGAAACAAGATGACAGCATGCGGCAAAATAACGATCCTAAACCTCCATGAGAGGAGGACAAGACCACGTCAACAAAAAGTGCAATACACCTAAGAGACAAAAAGAAAAGGAAGGACCGCCAGAAAACGCCATACCACCGCCAAGATGAAGAACGCAGGTGGGACACCATCAAAGATGTCACCTGATCACCTAACAATAGTTAAAAGATGCGAGTCAAAATCGCCAGACTTGAAGACCCGAGGAGAAGACCGAACCAGCCAAGTCATGGAGTGAATCGATCATTGAAAAGAAGCTGAACCGTGGGAAAACCCCTGGGTGCAGACATCGAGCAAGGAGCGCTGGAACCAAGGCTATCAAGGAACCAAAAGAAACGTCTGCCAGGGAACCAGGAACCCAAACCTGAGGGAGCCGGGAAAGAACCAACCCGGTCGAGCAGACACGCACCGTCCGGGAGAACCCCCCCCCCTGGGACCCCCGAAGGAACAACAAGTCCGACAGCGAAAGACGAGAAAAAAGCCACTTGCAGAAACTGACGAGCCGCAGACTCCGCAAACAGCAAGGACAAAATGGCAACGAAAACCTAAGAACCAGGGGCCCAGGCAGAGGCCAACAAGGAAGCGAGCACCACGCGCCAAAACGCAAAGCAAAAAACAGTGACTCCGCAACCCGCAGGAGCGGCACCACCAGCCCCAGCAAGGCAGAACAATTCACGTGTCGCAGAGGAAGGAATGATGAGAACTACGTAGGACATGTACTGCATGAAAATAAAAATGTACTGTCTGGAAAAGAAACACAAAGAAACGGTTGTAGCCAGGGCCAAGATCCGAGCTCTCCCTGTCCCAACGAAAAGGAACTGTAGGGGCAGGAATGGGTGATCGGAAAACTACATCCACCAGTACACTGCAAAATTCACTTTCGCAAACAGTTCGGTAGACGGTTCGAACAAGTTAGGTGAGAAGGTGGTGGAGGCCAAGACCGTCAGTAGTATCAAAGCGTTATATGACAAAGAGTACTGGGAAGACGGGACACCACGAGCGTAGCTCTCATCCAGTAACTACACTTTAGGTAATTACACAGAAGCTGCATAATGACTGACAAGAAGAAGATGAAGAACTCGGGCCCATAACGGAACACTGGGCCTGTTCAACAACAGGGAAATGAACATGAACACAGCCCGACCTAACACAAGCAGGAGAATAGCCAACATGCACCTACGAAGATACACAACAGTGTGTGTGGTATAGAGGTAGGAATATGTAAAAATGCAATGAAAAAACCTTAAATATGGTCCCAGCACTGGAAGCTGGGGACAAGAGCATAAGCAATATGAAGAACCAAGAAGACCCCAGGAAGCAATTGGCAATGAAATGTACATGAACAACAATATAACAGAGACTTACAGCAAGAATAAACAATACACTCACCCCAAACTCATGTACTAAGGAGAGAAGCCAACCTCACATTAGCACCAAAGTCCATTCCCTTATCACAGGTAACATCCCTTCCAACCTATTGGAGGATGGCGAGGTGTATAAGTGTAACATCCCAGGTACAGTGGCACCTCGACTTAAGATAATTTTGAGTTACGATATAAATTTGATCGGAAAATGCGGCTCGACTTACGATAGTGTCGTTGACTAACGATATTTGTAGTTACACGTTCGGGTCGATCGAGTGCATGGCTCCCGGTCGTGTGGGCCGACCTGCCTCAGTTTACTAGAGCCGCCCGCTTAGTGACAATCATGCTTATAAGAAATTCTATTTTTTTGGTGATTTTTTTCTTTTTGAACATAAAACTGATTATTATATATCATGCCATGGGTCCCAAGAAAGTCAGTGGTAAGGTTCAACATATGAAAACACTTGTAAGGATGATCATAGAGCAAAAACATGAGATCATTCGTAAATATGAAGATGGTTGCTGATCTAATTAGGCAGTACAACAAATCTCAATCAACGATATCCACCATACTGGCTAAGAAAAAGGACATTATGAGTGCTAAAGTGGCAAAAGGCTTATCAATAATCACAAAACATAGAACACAGACACTTGAGGAGGTTGAACAGTTATTATTAACTAGCAGTACCCGGCCACAGCTCAGCAACAGTTGCTGAGCTCTTCCTTCCCTCCATGCCCCACTCCCCTGTCCCTTTGTCCTCCCCACTATTCTCCATTCCCCCATCCCCTCGTCCCCACCATCCCAAACACCCCCGTCCCCTCGTTCTTCACCACCATTACCCCCTCCCTTGTCCCCTCCTGCTCCCCACCATCTCTCACTTCCGTCCCCTCGTCATCCTCCACCATTCCCCACTCCCTCGTCCGATGCCTTCCCAAATGGTCTGATGGTCCCATCAGAAAATTGGGAACATCAAGTGATCTGAAGTTCCCATCACTGAAATATAAGAATAAGTTAAAAAATTAAATGAAAATATGAAAAAATAAAAAAATAAACTATACTCACAAAATGAACGGTATGGTAAACAACACAGTTCAATTCCAACACAATGTCACACAAAATAATTCAATAAAAAAAAAAAAATCGAAATCTATGAAAATAACGTCTATCAATGCAATTGAAAACATTGAAATGGAATTTGTGACATATTTACTATAGCGTGCATGTTGCTATTATGTGCAACAGATGGTGCTGTTTTTAAAAAACGCATGTTTTTACCTGTCACGAGTGTGGCATCTATATAGTAGGTATATAAAAAGATATGCCTATTCAAATGCAACGTTGTGTCAAAATTTCAAAGCAATCGGTGAAGAACTTTTGGAGATTACAGCGTGTGTTGCTCTTACGTCCAACAGATGGCGCTGTTTTTTAAAAAACCAGTGTTGAATATAATGAAACGCCATTTTCTGGGCGAGTCCCGGAGGCTCTCCGGAGCTTACCAGGCTGATATGCTAATGTCAGACTTTGGCATCAGTCATGTGTATGGAGTTCTTATGGGCCTACCGGGGACCACGAGCCAGAACCTGGCCCCCTCAGAGAGGCAAGGGGAGCAATGGCCTATAGAAACCCAGTGTGGTTGGAAGCATTCTATGTC